ATACATTTACAATGCATCGAAAAGAGAACAATATTTCAAAAAGCAACGACAAAACCGCAGCCATCTTTGACTTCCGGTGTTAATAAAGCAAATGTAAACTCTATGTAGAATGTAAGCAAAACTAACTTAATATTGAAGGTTAAATAAAACTAGTGATTAATTAAGGAGCGTATGTCGGGCACAACTTAAATTATGGTACATTTCATTAAAACGTCATTCAATAAATCGTAAAAGAATATTCATTATCGATTAATTCAGTTCATAGTACAAGTAAAAATAACCAGAATTTGTGAACATAAATAAAAAAAACAAATAAAAAACTTCTCCAAATTAGAAAAAAAAGATGACTTCCTGTTATATCTTGCGTTTATTCTCCCTTATCTTTGGAATATTTTTCTTTCAACAGCGGCTTAACGTTTGCTTATTTGATAAAATACTTCTGTTTTAACATCCTTAACATACGACTAGCTTTCCACATTGTATAGACATTCCGAAAAAGCGACATTTAAAACTAAATAAAAATATATATAAATTAAGACGTACACAGAGAGTGCCACGAAATATTTCCTGACGGTCCATGGTTATGGAAGAGGTAAATATTTATTTACTTTTGGTTAACACATGAGACGCATAGGCGGAAATTTGTTTTATTATTCAATATAAAGTGTAATTTTTCTTCTTCTTTTATCCCAGCAGCAGTTCATCAATTCTTATAGATTTGACTTCAAATGAAAAGCCATCCACATTTCGACTTTTGCAACGATTTCGATGAGTCTTTAATCTTTTCATCGCTTACAAAAAAAAAGCTATTTAACTCTTTCGATCGAGAAATCAAGCTTTTGTACTTTTAAACAAAAACAATTTATTTTGCAACTGGTAATTTTTTACAAAATGTTCATAATTATGAAGAAAGTTATATAGGAAAGTCAAGAATTATACAGTCATTAAATACGACCATAGCCTGAAGCATAAATACAACAAACTGAAACACAAAAAGAAAAAAGAAGAGGAAAATTTGAAACAAAGAATTACTAAAAGTAATTAATGATTTTTTTGAAATTACAAGTAAATGAAATGAACTTAAAGCTTGCATCTTTAATGCGTTTTTCTAAATACTATGTGAAACAACAATATATTCAAAATTTCACGACCGATGTGATTACTGTTAAATGACATCTTGATTGTGATTTTCTGTACATGATGGAATGCTTATTTTGCACGAGCTCAATCGGAAGTCTTAAATAAAGTGATAATAACTAAAGGTGGTTAGCGTTGCTATCCCCAAATTTTAATATCGCGTTTATCTTAAATGTTTTTGTAAAGAAATGATTTTTAACGAATGATAGGCTTAATTTTATTTAAATAGACCATAAAGACCTCGGCATTGCTATAAATTGCGAAGAGAGTTGGATACAATTTTTTATTCAGTAAACGTAAAGTTGTTTACAAAGAACAAAATGGCGGGACGATTTACTTTGAAGCTCCTTATACAAAATTTGACACATTAAAAACACAATTTAATAATAATTTTTAATATTTTACTAAACTTTTGTCGGGAGTTGTTTTACTCTCTCTAAAAACCGCTGAATGCTAAATCTGCTAATATTTTAAGACTAGTGTTACCATAAGCAAGAAAATAAATTTAGTATATGGCTGCAATTTAATAACTTCAATTTTTTTAATTAAGTTATACATAGCGTAGATTACGATACATTTCCCGTCTCCTTGCAAATTGATCATATTAATGCATAATTAGATCATTAGTAGATAATTCTTGCGTTGATATTTGCTAGAATATCTAAAATTTTTTTCTTAAGGATTTATTTGGACAAAAAGAGGGGTGAAAGTGGTATGCTCCTAATTGAACAGTATAGAAGAAGTTCTGAGAGTACGGTTTAGTAGATTTGTTCTATGTTTTAAACTAAAAAAAAAACGTTCAAATATAAAATTCCACGAGTTACGAAACTGGTTGTTGTTAACTCCGATAGGACTGGTTTATTTTACACGCATTCGATTTATGTCCAATCTTTACGAATGTATGTACAATGTTCGATACGATTAAAATATCGATGTTAATAAGTGAACAACATATTATTAACAATTAACAATGTTTAAAAGCTGCGCTAGCGAAGAGAGGAGTTATATTCCTAAAACTTTCCAACATTTCATGCAGATTTTCGACTTAGTTGTAGATGTGCGGTTTAGGGATATTTCTATCTGATTTAAATAATTTTCAAAATTAATACTAATTCCGTTTCGCTGGTTTTCGAACTTAATCTGATGAAAACGTTCAAGGTTGGTCTTAAAGACAAAGTTTGGAAATCGCAGTCTTGGAGATTTCAGGAAACAAATATATCCAAATTCGCTTTGCTATTAATACTAATTAAAAATTATAAATATAGTTCATAAACCCCCAAAGCACGTTTCTATTGCAAACATTTGTCTTAAGCTGAACGAACTTTTACAAGAAGTCTTTATTTATTTTACAAGTATATTTATATAGAAAAAGAAAGACTTAACATGACTTATTGTGAAATATTTGTATTGGTTTTATAAGAAATCAAGAAGGAAATATATTAAGGTGTTTACATACATTTACATGAGCAAAATAATCGTCATGATTTGTTATTATAGGGCGTGATATTGTAATGCTTAGTTAATAAGTCGGATTTTGTAGACACTAGAATATTATTGCATATTGATTTGTTTCGTAAGTTGACATCTTCGGTTAAAAACAGGACATTTTTTATATGCTTCTTCACTTGTAAGCACGTGTTGATAATACTATCGTCGGGTGAAGAGACGTCTATTAAATGCTTACGCTCATCGATAGCATTTTGCGCTTGTAGATGTAGTGATTTACTTTCAAATTTTTCATTCAAATATTTGATGGCACGTATTGCCAAAGTTTTCACCCCTTCTTGACTGCCAGACCTGTGCTTTAATCTATCTAATTCCTGTAAAACACAGTAAGGGATAAACAAGACTGTGCCTTCGGTATCTATTTTGAAATGGGAGAACATTTTTGTCATGATAGTGTGCAACAATTTTGAAGCTCATTGATTACAAACCACATAATTTGAAATTGCTAAGATCTTCAACGAAGGATAAATTCTGTAAGAGCACATTTGTGTCCAATATAAAATAATAATATTGGTGAAGCCATCTGCTATTGTTATTTATCCCGTCATTGTTCTTTTCAGCAGAGATGCGCAAAAGATTTTCGTTAACAGCATCATAAATGTCTCCTATGGACTCATACTTCGAATTAGCGATATTTTGAGATCTTTGTTTAGATAAAGCCGGCAAACTTCTTCTGGTGACGGATGTCTACAATTGTACGCTTTTTAAATTAAAATATCATACACTCGTTTTTATACATTACCAACCTCTTTGGGTTCTGCGATATCCACGGGATCCCAGTCCATAGGTTCGTCTACGTAAAAAGGCAAATCCGTGTATTAGGCAAAATAAATATCTATTTCGTTAAATCATACCATATGTTGATATTATTACATTGGTGGGAAAATCATTGCTTTCAGTATGATTTTTTAGGGGAGAGCCGGAGGATGATAGCACGTCTAGTTCAGTTTCACTTGATGCCCGCCGTTGCAACGTTTCACGTAAACATTTCAAACGTTTATTGGCTGTAATCAAAAGTAAGATCTTTACATTTTTCAATTAAAGATATTTGCGCCCACCCGTTCCTTTTTTATAGCCGACAACGTCTGTAGGGCTACGTAGTTCACCTAAAGATTTTGTAGATTTTATTGCATTCAAATCCTTTAAAGCGTTCACAGTTTCCTTTGTGTCTTTTGACAATTCTCTGTCTTTCCCAATACTCTTTCCTGACTCCGTCGTTTTACCCATAATAGGAGCAACTTGTCTTTTGTAAAATTCTTTTATTTTATTTGCGAAATTTGTAGTAAAGTTCGACCAGGTTTTCTTATTCAAACTTTTCGGCGCTTTCATTTCATTATTTTTCGAAGTTTCGGGAATTCCGGGAATTGCTACAGACTCCGCGTTTCTTAACATTTTTTTCGGTATATGCTCTTCAACCAATGATTTACGTTTGTCCCGTTTTACCGGAGTTGATATTACGACTTCTCCGTCATCTTTGTCAACAATGGAAGGTAAAGAGTTTCTGCTGCTAATTTCGCCCGTACACGATTCTTGTGGATTTAGTTCAATATGTAGGGACTTTCGGGAAAAACGATTTGGTTTAACTGGAGATTTTAATTGATTTATTTTAAGATTGGCTTGCAACCGTTTTAGACGATCTTGAGCTGGCGTTTTTATTCTGGGCAATTTAGGCGTTGCTTCATTTTTGGCGGTCACTTCATTACTAATCCATTTTTTTTCTCCAGTTGATTTGTTGAACAGATAATGCCGTCCAGGATAACTTTTAGATGAGCATTTCACCCAGTCTTCTCCATCTGTCTGTTGCGATGCCATTTATTCTGTTGATTCACGTTCACAATATTCTATAAAAATTGAAAATAATTTTTTCTTCGTAAAATTTCAGAAATAAATATACGCTTATTTTTGAATAATTAAGAATACCTTCGAATTTTATCTCTATTGTCACTGCAAGAAAATGTTTTTTTGTTTTTTTTATGTACACTTGTTAACTGTCAGTGTCCATATTCGGTGTTCTTTAAGGCAATATTGTCGTAATTTTTTCAGGTAAACATAAATGTATTTATTTATTTATTAGGACAAATAAACTTTACTTACTGCACAAATAAACGCGAATAAGCAAATTCTTTATATTAAGTTGAAAAAATTGATATCACATAATGAGAAAATAAAAAATCACGTTCTTAGCGCGTTTTACATTTTACAACCTAGACTGAAATTTGAAACAAAATGAAAATGAAATTTGACAGATTGATGAAACCAGCTAAAGTTAAGGCCGCAATCAAAGTTATCAGTACTTCAGGCTCCGCTTTAAAACTGTTAGAAATTGCCAGCAGTCTTTGTCTTGATTTCAGATATATATATATATATATGTATAATGCATCGTTAAATGTGGCAGCACTGTTGACAAACCCATATGGTTTCTGGATATTAGCGACCTTCAAACAACCACCAGTTTACAGGTTACAGTGATTTTGGCGAACACAGTTTTGTAATTTTTAAAAAAAGTAGGTTTAATAACGGAACCGCAACTCCTAAACTAGTTGTAGGAATGTCATAAACTTTGCACACATTCTATTTGAAAACTGGTACTATTTAAAAAGCTACATTGATTCGTCAATAATGACAACATCATAAGCAAATAAAAATTTCAATACTAATGCAGAAGAATGTACTTTTCGTACCGACTCGATGAATGATGAAATAAGAAAACAAAAAATTGCTATTAAACAGATTCAATAACTGAGACTGAATTGATTGGGACAATAAAAGTTACATACATCTTACGTCATCCTGAATTTTCCATTTCATTCGCACACATTTTATATATCGTTACTACGACTGATGTACGCTACTAAAAGACAAAAATTCTCAAAGCGAACATCGCGAGTAAAGATCTGTAGTGCCAATATTTCCAAATATTTAATGTATAACCGGTTTGTTGTTTTTATTCGATCAGACTAAGTATGAATTATGCCTGTAGGGTGCAAGCTCGGGTACGCCAAAATTCTGTTAACAAAGCAAATATACAATGTGTCTAGTAATTTTTTATCTAAAACGTTCTTTCTTTCCAGACAGCTGATTGTTTTGCGATCCATTCCATATGTTGCGGCCTGTTATTTGCATCAGCTGTTCTGACAGTACTTCCGGTTCTAGGTTTTACATTTTCACTTGCGTTATTATAATGTAGCGCACTCCATTATAAGAGAAAAAGTTTTGGGCCATTAGTTCCGTTTTAAACGAAAATCACTTGTTTTTAACTGTTCGGCCGGCTCGGTTGCGATTTATTTTCATTTCAATTAGGTTTGGTTTTTTGTTATATATATAGTTTTAAAAGGATTTTTTTTTAGAAAATTTCTCGAAAATAAGTGCAAAAAATGATTAAGGTAAGTTTAAATGTTGCAGTGTTGTTGTTATGAAAGTTACATTTTTTATTTTTGCAATTGACACAAAAAAAGGTGCAAAGTCCATTTTTAATTTACCGTTATAAGAACATAATACATAATAATCTCCATTACACAATCATTAATTATTATATGAATGCGTTCGTTTATCTTCAGAGTGCTGTTTCTTTGGTTACTGGCGGGGCTTCGGGTTTAGGTCGTGCTACTGTTGAACGTTTTGCAAAACAAGGAGCTCGCGTTGTATTGGCTGATTTGGGTACATCTAAGGGTCAAGAGGTTGCCAAAGAATTAGGCGACAATGTAGTATTTGTTCCGGTTGATGTGACTTCCGAAAAGGATGTTACTAATGCTGTGCAAACAGCTAAAGATAAGTTCGGCCGTTTGGATTTGGCTGTAAATTGTGCCGGTACAGCTGCTGCCGTACGTACCTACAATTTCAATAAATCGACTCCACACAAATTGGAAGATTTTACGCGTGTCATTATGATTAATACCGTAGGGACCTTCAATGTCATACGTCTAGCAGCGGGTTTGATGGGTACCAATGAGCCCAATCAAGATGGTCAGCGAGGTGTTATTGTTAACACAGCTTCTGTGGCTGCTTTTGATGGTCAGATCGGTCAGGCTGCTTATTCCGCTTCAAAAGCTGGTGTCGTTGGCATGACACTACCCATTGCGCGAGATCTTAGCCCTCAAGGTATACGAATTTGCACAATTGCTCCAGGACTTTTCAATACTCCAATGTTAGCTTCTTTACCGGAAAAAGTGCGCACTTTCTTAGCCAAATCCATACCATTTCCACAACGATTGGGAGAGCCTTCCGAATACGCGCATCTAGTGCAAGCCATATACGAGAATCCTCTAATGAATGGCGAAACTATACGCATTGATGGCGCTTTGCGCATGCAGCCTTAAAAAGGATTTAATATTTTTGTTGCTTTAAGAAAAACTTTTATTTTTCTTTCTCCGAAATATTTTGCATTTACTATATTTTTCTAATGTTTGCCTTTGTTCGTGTTTTTTTTAGAATTTCAATTTCTATATAAAGCCACTTCTTAATAAAGTCTAATATTAAAGAGAAATGAAATGTTGAAGAATAACAGCGACTGAGTTAAATGCAAAGTTCACGAACTGGAATAGATCATCATCATTATCGTTATCATCGCATTCATTATTATCAACGTCAGTTTATTTGTTTCTAATAATAAGAGCAAAGTCGATTCTTGTTCGCGAAGGTAGGGTATATTTTTACTGTATTTTTTGGCAATTTTTGGTTAAGTTTGTCTTGTTTAGTAGTACATTAATGTATTGTTTTGCTGTTTTGTAGATCACATTAAATACTTTTCAATATCAAGAATATTTTGTTAAGTCAGGTAAGAACCCTTTCTTAAAACTCGTTCTTTTTGACGATCAAGCATTCAAGCGAGAAGAAGAGCTCGAAGATTTTTTCAGTTATTAATAATTTATATATACAATTTATATATTTCCCTATTTCGGAGACAACAAATTCGAAAAGTTTTGCTTATATTTAAATGGACAAAGCGTAAATAAAAAAGAAACGGAATCTTCGGGACATTCAGGATGTTAAAATTTATTTAAATATAAGCAGTATTAAATAACTAAACAGGCTAACTTTTGTCGGTTGGAAAGACGCGTACATATACGTCGTTCTAGTACAATGAATAGCCTTGGTAGTGTGCCATATTAAATGCGCGGAGAAAGTGCTGTAATTATGTTTAAAACATTAATTCGTGGATAGATATCCTTCATTATGGAACGATCGGCACATAAAAACACCACAGCACACATTATGCCGATGTTTAATAATGTCAAGAGTGCCGAACACACTCCCTTTTTCCGTGAAGATATTAATCTGGTGTGGGTGCGAATATCTATTATAGAAATCTAACAATTTGATGTGAAAATGTCGCTGGTTGTAATAACGACATAATATATTTGCAGTTACAACGAATGGTGAAGTGTGATGGGCATTCGAAAATAAGTTTTTATATCAACCACCGAAAGATGAAGGTATGTCTATTATCCGTCTGTTAAATTGTGTTATTTGAATAATAAAACTTGACAAAAATAATGTTTGCTCTTGTACGCAGGTTGGTATTGAAAATAAGCCAAGTTAGTCATATGACACGCGTATAGCATAATATAAACTGTGTACTTCCCTACTTTCTACACTTTCTGCTTATTATCTCCTTATTGCACGCAATGTTATAGAATCCACGCTTCGTCAAGTTTGGTTCTTCCATGCGTAACTTAGAGGCCTTCTTTTTTGTAGTGTTTGTAACGTTTGGCTACTTGACTTGATTACTTTATTTATATATGTATACGTATATATTTCTATACCCAGAAATGCCAAATTTTAATCCTTGCGATATCTTAATTTTTGAAACTTGCAAAATATTTATCGCAGATTTCATACAGTCGACTATATATATATATATCTTATATAAACACCTTAAAAACGATAGAGAATACTTCTCATTTACGGCCATATTCTGGCCTTGTCATCTAATAACGTTCATAAAATTAATGCATATGTGTGACTTTCATCTTTGTTATTATTTTGTCTCAAATTTGGTATTCCGAAATAAAAGTGACCATCAAACTCTCCATTATCAATTTCGGCCTAAAACAGGGCTGTTAATTTGTGAAACAGATGAATTGAAGTGTAAAAAAACAAATTAAAGGTAAATTATAATAATTCCTATCCCTCAAATGTTCTTACAATCTTTTAGGATGCAATCTAGTAAAGTTGACCAGTAAATAATAAATTAATGCATCTATCTTTGCTTATTTTCGACAAAATATTCCACGAAAACATTGCAAGTACATTTGCTTTTATGTCAAAGATATTAGGTGCTTGCAAAAATTTTGATCAACAACTTCGTACAGTTTAAAATGGCAAAGAAATGGGAAATACCAGTGTAGATAACATAAAATAGCAGTTTACCATTTAATATTAATGGTTTATTTAGCGTACTCCGACGTGATTCATGGAGCGCGCAAAATTCTCCTTCCAAATTCATTACTTTTGTAGTTGATTTGAAGAAATCTGCTGCCGAAGCCCACCAAACACTTTCAAAGTTTTAGGGCGATGCTGTTCCATCATATTCCATTTGTCGATTTTGGTTCCAGCAGTTTAAAAGTGGTGACACGAATTGACTGAAGATGCCATTTTCTGGCCACTTGTTGCTGTTGCCGCTCGAATGGGAAGTTGTACCACACTCAGTGTACTCACGAGACATGACACTTGTGCAGATCGATGCAGTATGCCTTGCCTGGCAAGCGAGTTCACAAAGCTGAAGAAGTGTGAAACCATATCAACGCAATTTTTATATTCCTGTTTCGTCCTGAGCACAAATCGATGTAAACCATAATGTGCTTTTCGTTTGTAAGGGTTCCTAAATATTTCAAGATACATGCTGCTTGATGTGAACCTCTGGATGCGACGATCTCATCTCAGACACACATGTAAGTATTATCGTCTTGGAAGTTGTGCAAACTCGATTTAAAACGAAAAATTACGTTTGTAATATGCAATTGAAGTGCTTAACTCTTCGTAACTCGAAAGAAAAACTGAAATAGTGATCAGCTTCGTTGTGTCAAGATAATTATCACATATAATACATAAATTTAATAAAATGATTTCATTTTGTAATAACACAATTGACACACGTGCAAAGGTACGCGGAGCTAATTATGAGCTGTACAAATCATTATAAATTTCACAGTACAGAAATATGTACGTGGGGAATCCTCGCGTTATATGGGGGAATGCCCGTGTTATACGGAAGATTGCAATCGCGTAATGCGAGACCGCGTTATAAGGGTACCGCATTGTTGGGGTAATTACTATACTTTGCACGTTAGTACTAATAATGTGAACATCTACTTGGAACTTAAGTTGCGTTTAAAATTAACATTTTATCATTTCATTAACCAGCAAATTTTCGTCCTACAAAATCTTTGTGATTTTCAATATATTAAGTTACGATTTGCTTCAAAATGAAAAGAGAAGGTGGAAAAAATATAAATATCACAAAAACTATCTTGATCATTTTGGAAAATTGTCTTAGACCACTTTTAAAATAGAGATTAAAAATTTAATAATTATTCAAACACTTTAAGGAAAATGATTTTAATTATTATTCGGTTTAAACAATTTTGAATCTTTTACAATTTATGATTACTTATGATTATCATAAAGCGCTTCATCTTGTTCAATTATTTTTAAATTGTATAAAAAGAATTTGTTTACATTTGTATTTATATAGCATAAATAGCAGCCAATTGTATTATACAAAGTTTTATTAATAATAACACGCATAACAACAGCATTTCTTCATTAGCGGTAGAGATGTATGCAACGGCTCTTGTTTATGAGACTTACATGAATATTGATTAGGGGAGTAAAGAAAACAAATAACGTGAGAGCAGTAAAATTTATAGTAAATGTGTTTTTTTTTTTCTTTATACTTAAGTTCCAATCAGAGTTGCCAGGACTAGTTATCGTATATTGAAATACTCAGAGATTGTTTTATAAGCAAAAAATCCTTTCCCATTAATACATTTTTATTTTGTAAGCACTGTTTCAAATGGCATTTATACATGGTTAATTTCGAGTATTAACTTACAAGAGTTAAATTGGAGTATTAAGGCTCGTTTTGAACGGAACTGAAGGTGAGTCGGTGAGAACATTGATAAGGTAGTTCTTTCACATGACCTGCGGGTAATAGGGAAAGAAGATGTAGAAAGCGGCCGTAGCGTGGGAAACGTATATGCTTATCAGTAAATGTCTCGTGCCTTTAATGATTCATGATATAGTTGCGACCATATATCGATGGCATTAATCTACCGGATAGGCTGACTTGATAGTCGCTCTTTGCCCTTGAAAGACCAGAACAGAAAATTTATTCGTCTTCAGATGACAGTTTTCCTGGATGCGGTCATAATAAATTATTATATAATGGAATGGCCGCATCCTTCCGATATAGTGTTTGTTTGCGGAATATCCAAATTTTTACTAACTAGCCACGGAGACACTCCAGAGTCCTACATCATTTTGGAAACCATAAGTTCCGATATTTACAGCTCTAAAAGTATAATTCGCGTCATAGATTCCTATTAATACCATAGAGGTCCTATGACCCATAAAATAAATTTTATAAAAATTATTTACTTATTTGTTAACATCAACACTTACGTTTATAATTATAAAAAATTATAGAAAAGAGATCCAGACTTGTAAGGACAAACAACAGTAATGTGTTTGTTATCAATTACACCAATGCATTAATGTAAGCTTATTGGCTTCCTACGGTTATTGAAACCTTGAGCATTTCTTCCATTTACGTTCGTTGTTCAGGGCTATGCATGTAACTGCTAAATTTTTCCATATGAACTTGTATGTTTCCTAAGTCATTATGCGCACAGTCGAAAATGAAAGTGAGAGACTCGAATCAATTTAAATACATTCTTCTTCATATAGAGATACTTGCACGGGTGTAGGAAAAAGCCGACATTTAGTTGACATTTAGTTAAAATGGGCAACCGGATTGAATTTTTATCAAGTTGATATTCGAGAAATTCATACAGTTCATATGGATAAAACCTGCCCGGGTTCAGCTTTATGTAAAAACTCTGTCAACGTCACATATTTCAAAGCGTGGTCTTACATAATATCTTCTAATTTGTTTAAATTTTCGATCTAATCAATCTTCTTTATCACTAATCTTATTCACTTTTATATTAACTTCTATTTTGTTAACTTTTTATGAATTTGTTATTTATGTTTAGTTTCATTTCATTATTTTTGCTTCTAAAACCATATGCTTTCATTTACATTTTCTTGTAAAGCAATATAGTAGCGTGGCTGCCCATTATGTTCACAATTTGGAAGTTTTTAATTTGAAAACTAAAATTACGCGTCACTGTGTCAGTCCCTCAGCCGCCTAAAATTTAAATTTTCTTAATAAAAATGTTTTTGTTCCGTTACAGAGTATGGAAACATGGCAACTTTGCTCAGCAATGTCAACATTGTATTGTATTCGTAGTATCGAACGTAGGCTTTGTAAGTGTGAGCATTATTAGTTTTTCTGAAACCACCGGTTGGTTAGGTTATTTTCATATATTTGTCGGAGATTTGTAAAAATTCAAGATGATGATCCGCTTGTTGAGTGTTGAGGTGAGAGAAATAAAAATGAAAAAAAAAAAAAAAATTGAAAAGCACAGACACGATTTTTTCCCTTTTTTTTAAAATATATTTTTTGGTAAAGTGAAGGTAAACATATAAACGCACTGTGATCTTGCACTTGACTTTCAGACTGTAATGTACGTGCAAGCTCTTCAGACAGTGTGCATATTGTGTGGGCTTGTTTATCGTATTAATGACGTCGTAGAGAATTGCGAATTGTATTTTGCATCAATTAAATATGAATTTTTATTCTATATGCTGGCACCTTTGAAAATTATGTAACATAGTTAGTTGATCATAAAAAATTTTGAATATTAATAAAGAATGGAAAGTTACCATCAAAGAGATATGTTATTACTATGCTAATAAGTATATATTATATGAGTAAATGAACTTCCGATGTTTTTGCGTCGAACTGATAAGAAAGTGGCGTCCGGTAATGCGACGATTAATTAATTGTTTCTGTAGATTATTTTTGACATTTTCTAAGGTAATAATTGTAATAGTTAGCAACATTTATGTAGGAGACTTTTAGGAACTTAAAACGTGAAAGGTGACTCCTTTTCTTTTGTTTACATATTCATGCTAAGCTATTAAATTTCTAAATAATTGGTGTTTTGAAAAGAAATTATCAGGTGACCCTGCAATTATCATTATCTTTTTTCCCCTATTATAACAGTTGCTACGTGTTTAACGATCATGCGTTTAAAAATTTGCGAAACTTTCTTCGCGTTATGTTTAGTTGCTATCTGAGCATATTTACATTTGGTTAATTAAACTGTGATGTGTGTGTGTGAGGGGTGATGATCATGATCACTTTTTTTGGTCTAGAATTTTCATGCATGAAAATAATTTATTGCTTAGTTTGTTAGTTACATAGACATGTAAATTATTTCAGTTTTCATATGCCTTTGCTTTGTTTTTCATAGCTATGCTAAGTAATGACGCCGTATTAATGAAAACAGTTAGAGAAAATTTATGCAAATTTGAAAAAAAATGTGCAAGAAAATTTATCAAGTGATTTTTTTGCTTAGAAAACGATTTTACTCACGGAAGAAAAGTGAAGAATTTCGATATTTATATTAATTTCAATAATTACAGAGAACAGATGAATGGCAGGCGGATGGAGAAATTTCGAACGCCCCTGAAATGTACAAATATCTGTTTTACGTGCGAAGTAAAAGTTTCGTCTTTGACTAAAACTACCTTTCTATGTTAATTTTTAAATAAAAGTAAAGGTCCGACTATTTTTATATTGTTAAATTTTATTTTGCTAAATATGAATTAAATTTCTTCACCTTTTGATTATTATTATTATTTTTTTTTGTTTCTAGTTCCTTTGTCTTGTTCTTGCTTTCTTTCAATGCAAATTGACATAGAAAGAGTGGACGTTTCAACAATGTTAAAAAACTAGTCAATCATTTCTTATGTATTTTTAACAAGAATCCGTTCTGTTTCTTACGAAAATTTTGCTTAAGTTCAATATGGAAACGAGTCTAATTTAATCTAACAAAGAAAACACTATGCTGTCTTAATGTAATCATTTTTTTATATATATATCCAAGATTGGCTTTAAGATACGAAGAGAAGAAGCAATGTATCACTCTAATTATATTTACATGTTAGCTAAATTCTAATTTTCCTTTCATCTCAAATTGATGCTTATTTAAATTTTCGAATCAAATTCGATATACATTAAATATGATCTAAAATATGCGCAACAGAGAATATACACAACATCTTTGGTATTAGGCAATAACGAACAGGTGGCGGAATTCTTTCAAATTCAATAGAATGTAGCTTCAAACTATTTCTTGTGTTGATCGATTTTTATCTCGTATCATACTTTCATTTAGAATTTATAAAAAATTTTTAGAAGATGTAGGGCGAGTTGCTGGGCTTTACACGTTTACATCGTATGTTTCTATTATTTGTGTGTATGTGTGTATTTTTAGTTTGGATGTTTCGTCATTTGTCAATGTTTTATCTTCGTTTTTTCTGTTTCACGGACTAAATACCTTAGTTCAGGCAAAATAGAGAGGAAAGCGTTTATGATTTCTCACTCAGTCATAATCACATCAGATATAATATTGATTTTCAGTTTTCTTTTTTCACATAAAAGTCTTATGCGAGAAGGAAAATGTGTCTGCAATAAATTTTTCCAGATTAGTGCAACGGGATTAAAGAATGAAAGGCTGCGGTAGCGTGTGCTGCAGCCAATTTCAGGACAAATAGGTGTCGGCGCCGAGCAAGCCGCGTAGTGCTATTAAAGCATTTGATTGGCGAATGAATATCGCTTATTCTCCGCGAATATTGATGATAGTATTGAAGGTACATTTGTGATACATAAACATGTTGCCTATGGTTAAAGATCTTCAAGAAAGATTATTATTACATTCTAATTTTAACCGGATATATAGTCGTTGTAAACGATATCCTTATTTCAACATTGTCCTAAATGCTTCACAAAACGGAGATCGAGCGAGAGGAATAGAGAGAGAGAGAGAGAGAGAGAGAGAGTAAATGGAAATGTAATCATTCCTATATGTTCAGTATATTATGTTTGATGCTAGTTGGTTTTGATTTTTCGCAGCACTCGGTTCAGTTATTAAGTAAATCTTCGATTTGTCGCAACTTAAGAATTACCATAAAGTGACGTTTTAATTACAATAAATTTTGTTTTCAAAAATATCGTACAATTTTTGGTTCGGATCTTTGTCAGTCAATGGTTTTTCATAGGTCACAAAAAATTAATTATTAAAGCATTTGATACTAATTTGTCTTTAAAATCATTGGCTTTTCTTGAGCGTTTCCTAACGCTCCGGTCAATAATTCTTAGGAGTGGCTCACAGATGTTGTCTCTAACAAAACCCTACGTGTTTTGAGATAGAGCCGAACCTTAAACAATGGCTCAGAAACTTTCATGTCATGTCGATCACAATTGGTTCACTACGATACTTCCGGATCGAATTCGCTAAGTGAAAAACACCCGCTAGAAGCCATGCAAATTGATCAGGGAGGCAACAATTGTGTAATTTATTCATCGAGTATTTGAAAAAGGAAGAATGATCAGAAATGAACCTTATATGGCACTTTTGGTTCGACCGAAGGAGGAAATTATCAAAAAATCGACGTTCCTTCACCAAGCCAATGCAAAGGTCGATGTATGCGGGGGATGAATGGAAATTTGAATTCTGATCTTAGGCACTACATTCTCCCAATCTGACCATCAGAGTGACTATCAGTTGTGTGTAAATCTTAAAAGTAAGCTCCAGAAGATAAACTTGAAACGAATTTTCAGCATCTGAACAAGTCATTCTAAAAAAAATCATTCTTGGAGGGCACTATGTGGATGAGTAAAGTTCAATTTTGCAAAAAACAAAAAAGGATGTATATGATTTGTTTCGTGTCGGGAATTATTGACCGATGTATTACTGGTTGTACACACACAGTACAAAGTTAATATTTCAATTTTATTCAACACCAGTTTAATATGCTATTGAATAATAATTAATTGATTACTTGCAAAGAGTTTAATAATATTCACTAAACATTTGTTATGTATGTGGGGTAAATTTATTTTAGGCTCGTTTAATGGGCAAACGTGGTCTCGCTTCAGCGGCTTCTACTACAACAAAAATGTTTATCGATGGTAAATTCGTTGAATCGAAAACGAAAGACTTTATTCCAATATCCGATCCTGCCACTAATGAAGTGGTGTCACGTGTGCCAAACTGTACTCAAGATGAAATGCAAGCAGCTTTGGAGTCCAGTAAAAAGGCTTTCAAAACGTGGAGTGCAACTTCAGTTCTGTCGCGTCAACAAATTATGTTCAAATTTCAGGCACTAATAAAAGAAAATATGGATGAACTGGCCAAAATTGTTGTAAAAGAAAATGGAAAGATTATGGCGGACGCTCATGGTGATGTATTAAGGGGTCTACGTAAGTAACAACAAGAAACAAAAGAGAATAATTTCACTTTGATTTATTTTTTGCTTTGAAATATGCAGAGGTTGTGGAGCATGCCTGTAGCATACCTTCCTTACAAATGGGTGAAACTGTACCTAATGTGGCTCGTGATATGGACACGTATTCTTTGTCTTTGCCTTTGGGTGTTACCGCTGGTATTGCTCCTTTCAATTTTCCTGCCATGATTCCGTTGTGGATGTTCCCGATATCTATTGCGTGTGGTAACACCATGATAATGAAGCCTTCTGAACGCGTTCCGGGCGCTACTATGTTGTTAATGGAATTGCTTAATGCAGCTGGTTGCCCACCTGGCGTAGTCAATGTTATACATGGTCAACATGATGCGGTTAATTTCATTTGCGATGCTCCCGAAATTAGGGCCGTGTCGTTTGTGGGCTCCGATCAGGCTGGTAGGCATATTTATGCTCGTGCCAGTAAAAGTGGTAAACGTGTGCAGTGCAATATGGCTGCCAAAAATCATGGTATTGTCATGCCTGACGCCAACAAGGAGAATACATTGAATCAGCTGGCTGGTGCTGCGTTTGGTGCGGCTGGACAACGCTGTATGGCTCTGTCGACTGCCTTATTTGTTGGCGAGGCGAAGGCTTGGATTCCTGATTTAGTAGAACGCGCTAAGAAACTAAAAGTTAATCGAGGTGATGCGCCCGGAGCGGATTTGGGACCAGTTATCACACCTCAGGCCAAACAACGTATATGCGATCTTGTCGAATCAGGTGTTAAGGAGGGAGCCAAGCTGGTTTTGGATGGTCGTAATATCAAAGTTCCCGGCCATGAGAATGGCAACTTTGTGGGCCCGACCATTTTAACTAACGTTACTCCCAAAATGAAATGTTACACAGAGGAAATCTTTGGACCGGTTTTAATTATACTCGATGCTGATACGTTAGACGACGCCATTGAAATAATTAATTGCAATCCTTTTGGTAATGGTACCGCCATTTTCACTACTAATGGTGCGACCGCTCGAAAATTTGTAAATTTAATTGATGTAGGACAAGTAGGTGTTAATGTGCCAATTCCTGTGCCCTTGCCCATGTTCTCATTTACCGGTTCGCGACGTTCCTTCTACGGAGATCATTATTTCTATGGGAAAAATGGTGTTAAATTCTTTACGCAAACTAAAACTGTGACACAGCTGTGGCGCGAGAGCGACGTAAGTCACTCCAAAGTTGCTGTTGCTATGCCTACCATGAAATAATAAGGCGAGCGGGTTGGAAATTTTGGTTTTAGAACAGTGAGCAGGGAACTTTGTGGGCTGTGTTCAATGCTGTCTTCCAGCTGAATTGAAAAATTTTTGTAGATACATATTTCCTCTCTCGATAATGACCTCCCGAATTTTTATAAATGCATTTATTAATTTTTATTTTATTTCCATCTTTTTGTTTTTTTTGTTTATGAAGTGAAATATAGTTTGCTAAAACAGGATAAACGATAATAAATAAAAGAAGAAGACAAAGAAAAAATGAGAAGAAATTCTAAAAAACTTGTGGATTTTTATTGTGTACGATGATAGAAATGATATTTGTTGCTTCACGTAGGCTTATATAACACTCTGCGTCGAGTTGTGCGTGCTTTTATTGACAAAGGTGTTGGAAGTATAAGAAACAGTCTGTTTGATAGAAAGAACCTAGGCGCCTTGGTTTGCTTTCTTGCTCCTGTACCGCGGTCATTGTACGATAAGCTAAGCTTCAAACCATGTTGATCGAAGTGGTGGAATTCATTCACAGTAACATCAGCTCGTCTAATATTTGACCTGCAAAAGGCGTTGTTTTCATCGCTGCTAGGTTAGTTGCGTCCTTTATCGCAATAAGCAAGTTCGAGGAATCTTGTAAAGACATGGACTGGACATCGTGATGAATCGATATTGCAAGAGGAGGTTCTCGGAACTTCTGCTGCTGTAACAGCAACAGTATATGGTAGGTTTAGAAGTGCATAAAATGAACGATTCTTTCATATGAAATGAACGATGGAACGAAAACAAGTTATGCTTGCTAGCTAGTCTTTGTTTTTTTTTTTTCGCACATACACTTAAATACGGTCATTCAATTTGTGGTTTAGAAAGTAAACGTAAATATTGATTGAGATTTGGATAAATATATTGTTTGGATCTTACCAATTCTTATATAGTTGTACAGTTTAGAGAAATTGTCAAAACTTATTACGAAAGCGATGAGCTTAGAGTTATGTTCCTCCTATTTGGTTAAATAACTTCGTAACTAAGCATTATTGTCCACTTTGTGTAAAAACAAATATATGATTTTTCTACAAGACTCTTAAGTGTACAAAAATAACTTTTTGGCGTCATTTGTGGGCTAAAAATTTGAATATGAAAATTTAAAATGGAAGATGCCCTCAATGCAGGGCGCCACAGATATGTGATAACTGATTTTTTATGACAAAAATTAGATGATTTTGATTGGGACGATATGGCAGGCTTCCATAAAATGGTGCAACATATTACACATCCCGTGGCAAAGTCAATTTTTTGGAATAAAGATTCAATGTTCAGTGTAATCTCCACATGTGTTTTTGAGCGTTCGTCGTAAAGTTCGTGCGTTATAGTTCTATTGGACCTTTTACTATTGGATTATGTTAGAGCATTGGTTCACTCAAATAAGCCACGAACTCTCAATGACTTTATTCACTAAGATTATGTGGAAAAGTGGAGGAAATTTTATAAAATTCATGTTGATATTTGTGACCGTCGAGTTTCTCTTAAAAATAAAAAAAAAAAAAAAAAACAAGTAAAGCAAGTAAGAACATAGTAGGGCAAGGCCGATCATTAAATACTTTATACCACATTGTCTGACATAAATCTTGTTTTTGTATGAAATTACTATTATGGGTTAAAATTCATCAGCACACATATTAAAACTTAGGCTTTTCTGCTCTGCCAGAAATCAATTTTCGTGAAAATCCTTATTGGGGTTAGGATCCAAAAAATAGGCTGAAATGATGCAAATTTCGTATAGGTTTCGTTATGTGAGAGGTGGCTCGAAAATTGCAAAAGCCGCTCCAAAGTTTTCATATCAATTTAGAATGCCGAAACACTACTACCCATTCGCTTTCGCCAAGAAATTTTGAAAATTACAATTTTTCCCATATAAAAGACTTTTCAGAATAGGGCATTACATGGGGTCGATTCGAACTATTTTTAATAGCGTTCGTCCTTGGGTCATGACTGTACCAAATTGCATCAAAATATCGCAAAAATTGCGACCTGTACCTTGAAGACAAATTTACATGGGCAAGTATCGGACGGACAGGCAGGCTTAGATCAATTCAGATTATGGTTTTGAATCGAAATGAAAGGTGGGCCTATATTAAGCCCTTCTGTGTGTTACATACGATCGCATTAGCTTAATATACCCTGTACCACAAGTGTAGGTGTAGGGTATAAAAGAACTTCTTTGACAACCTTATATGTGCAGCATGGTGCATATTCATAGGATTTCATATGCTTTTGCTTTGTAAATCTTTAATGCATTATGATGTTATACCAGGAAACCATTAGCAGAATTTTTTCCCTTACAATCAATGAGTATAATTGAATGCAAAGGCATTCATTGTGTTTGGTGCTTTAAAGAGATAAGTGTTGCATACTTTCGATTTGATCCTTTACTTCTTTTTATGTATGGCAGGGCTGAGAAACTTTTCTCTAAATATCGTTATCACAAGCGAAAGAAGTTAACAGAGTAATGCAACAAAAATGACTCACCTATATCAACGAGCTATGATTATTCTCGGAAGGCAGACGGCCACCTCTACCTTGCGTAGTTGAGAGTTGGATGTCCCAACTATCAAATTGCAATTTGCTTGTCGAAAGAAGAAGATAACGCTTGGATGATTTTTTGTTTTTTTTTTTTTATGAATTAGTTTTTATTGTAATTTGTTACTTAACAACTTTTTACAAAGACAAATTTTTTTCGTTTTTTTTTTTTTTTTATTTTATTTCCATATATTTCATATGCCAATGCGATGAGCAAAGAATTTTTTAATGTTTATCTGTATTGTTTTTATATGTCATATAAATTGACTTTTCGATGAGCATTTACAGTTTTGATGATATTTTTCGATAAGATTTTTGTTGTTTATTTATTTTTCTCTTGTTTTGTTAAATTAGTAAAGTTATTTAAAATTTATAATTAATTACACAATAAATTTATATATTAATAATAATAATAATAATAATAATAATAAAAAAAGAAATAAAAGAACACATTTAAGCGATAAAATATATTTATATTTAAAATACATCGTTATTATGGCCTCTGAACAGACAATTAGAAGACAACACTGGCAGAAGTTCTGTACTGTAAATAATTCTTTTCCATTTTTTTTTTTTATTATTTTCTTTTTTTTATTTTTTATTTATTTATTGATATTTTGTTTTTTTTTTTTTTTTTTTTTTTTT